GCAGACATGGCACATTCAAAGAGTTTACAGAATGGACTGTTTGATGAGGCATCTTTAAATTGTCTCACTTCACTCCAAAACGCTTCAGTTTCTGTTTTGTTTGTCCATTCAACTAAGTTTATTTTGGTTAACTGATATTCTGCTTCCGCGACACTATTGTCAGTAGCCCCTAAAAATTTCATAACTTTACAATATTTAGGTATGTCCTTTACTGGCTGAAGTATGTTGCTCACAGAAAAGAGTGAAATATGTTTCAATACATCTAGATTTTCAGGAAGTCTCTGCTTTAGTTGCTTGAACAATGAGATAATGAAATCTTGACAGCGTTTTCTTAAGTTGTTCTCTTCATTCTCTGTTAACAGTCCTTTTGTTTTTAAGTCATCAATTTTTGATTCAATTTGATATCCAAGGTATGGCTTAGGAGCCAAATAGCTCTCTATAGTGCAAGTGAGCAAATCAACTTTTGAAGTTGGCAACACCAGTCTTTTACCAACTGAGTAAAATAGCAAAGTGAGATCGTCAAGTAATTTAACTTTATCAACATGTTTGGATTCGAACAGTTTATTAACTTTTTGCACTTCCATTAGAATAGGTTGTAAAAAGAGAAGGAATGCCAAATTTTTTTTCATCACTGTACATTCCATATAGTATCTCAGCTGTGTAGCACTTTTTCACTTTGTCTTGTTATTTCAAAGTGTGTCTTTAACTCCAACCATTGGTTCACAATTCTTTCAACAGCTGGTTGTATTGATAACCACCTGGTTTTGCAATCTGACAGAATTTTCAGTGGTGTGGAACCATTATTTAAGGCTGAATACAATGCATTGTATTGCTGTTGTCTGACAAATGATTTTGAAAACCAGTTATGTGTTTCAGCAATAAGGTATTCCAAATTCCTTGGTAAACATTCAGATGAAGCATGTGATAATGCTAGCTGCAATGAATGACACATACATTTTATAAGTATTAACGATGGGATAGCTTCCTTCAACTTGGCATAAACGCCATTGTTTATGCCAACCATCACTGAGGCATTATCGGTACCAATTGCAACCAAATTTGTCAAGTCTAACTGTTTTCTGATTAAAAGGTTCTTCAGTTCTTGAACTATACTTTCTGCATCACACTTTTCCAATTGAACTAGTCCAAGATATGTAGAAACTACTTTGTCTGTATTGTTGCTGTAATATATAATACACACACCAAGCACTTTCAGTACCGAAATATCATTTGATTCGTCTAATAATAAACTAAATTTATTTGTAGAAATATCACTGATCAAATCTTTTTCGAAGTGAGACAATGAAGTATTTCTTATAATATGTGTACACTTGCTGCGATGCATTTTCACATCATCCATAACTTTACTGTCAGAAATAGTTTTTTTTTAAACAAATCAATCAAATGGTCACAGTTTGAAATTGCACAATGGCAACTTAAAAACATTGCGACCGATCCTTTAACTTTTGATGATTCTTTTATCAGTGTAGTTTTGAAAACAGATGTCAGCGGTGTAATATCTTTGAATGGAACTGCAGTTTTATGCTTGTTAGTCTCTGCATGCTTCTTTAAGTCTTGTATTTTCGCTTTAATTTCACACTTGCAGTACTTACAACGAGCCTTGGTTATATCCCCAGGAACTGCCATCACCCATTCTTTAATTTTGTCATCATGCAACCACTCTTTACGAAATTTTTGCTCATACTTTACTTTTGGCATGTTGAAAGTTTTTTTCAAAATAAAAGCCACACAAGAAGGTGAGCAATTATTTTTTTTTAATCACATGAAAAAGAAACACAGAGTCAGCATCACAGCTATACTTCACAACACAGTGAGGATACGGTTGAAAGTTAGTATGAATTACGCGCGATTTCGATTAATCAGCACCGGGGTTGTCAGATATTTGAGTGTTGACCCCAGTGAGAGTTCAAAGTTTAAGTAATGGCAGTTGCCACAATGTACGTGCCAGACCAAAACAAAAATATTTTAGTAAATATTTTACTCAATAATTATTAAAATGACACTAAAAGAAAAATAAATCTATAAAATATCTAACTCCATATGAAAAGAATCTAAAAAAATATTTAGTATCTAAACGTCAAAAACAGGATCTAAACGCAATGAAAAAGATCTAAATTTGGATACAAAAGATCCAAAGTGGCAACACTGCGGGGCTGCCAGATTGTTGAGCGTTGATCCCAGTGAGTTCAAATTTTAAGTAATCGCAGTTACTACAATGTACATGCCTAGACTAAAACACACAAAAATGTGTAATAAATATTTCATACAGTAATTATTAAAACTAACACACACACAAATCTATAAAATATTTAACTCCAAATTAAAAACCATCTAGCATTAAATCTACCATCTAGACGTCAAAAAAACACCAACTAGATAGGAAAACATCTAGATTTGGATGTAAAACATCCAAAGTGGCAACACTACAGATAACCAAGACGAATTCCACTCTGAGGTTATAGTCATGAAAACAATTAATGCCCTGCCTTATTATTATTATTATTATTATTATTATTATTATGCATTTACTCTTAAAAGGGCTATTTGCACTTTGTGTTTTTACATATTCACCGTCTCCATTGTGTTAATACAAAAAATGTTAAGACACAAAAAGAGTATTCATTATTTAAGGAAAGGATGGGTCACCAATTAGCATCACAGTAAATGGACAAATATTCGAACAACTCATAAATGGCTCCCACCTTCGGCATATAAAATGAAGGCAAAAGAGAAAGATATTTTAGAATGGAAGGTAGGAGATAGTACAAAAGTATTACCGACATCTGAAAAGTTTTAGTTTCTAATCTAGATACATTTTCAGCACACATACAAATTGGCAAAGGTACACACACACACACACACACATATACACACACGTACGCACGCGCGCGCACACACACAACACACATGACGCAAAAACCAGGGACAGTGAACAAGCAGGTAGAACCTAGAAATGAGTCTCTGAGATGTACAGAATAGTTGTACTTCATGCAAACCAAGAGTCAACGATTACGGAGCAACTGTTAATGAAAAGAGATTTGATGACAGAAATAAACGAAATCAAGTCTCGTTAAATAAATCGCTCATTTAAAAAAAAAACGTTAGCATTTTATACAGGGTGTATGTTTAATTAATGACAGTAGTTTTTGGAAATAGGAAGGTGCTTTGCTGAAAATGAATACTGCCCCCACCCCCCGGTGAGTTTTGATAAGACTGCAGTCTGTTCCTTTTTTAAGAACAGGGACAATGATGGCGTGATGGACTTCAGTGTGATTTTCACTAGCACAGAAACGAGGTCATTGTGGGAATAACCCGTTTTCTTTGGGGGGTAGAACAGCGATTGCATAAGATTCGATTTCAGCAGACTTTGATTTGTTGCCTCTTATGACATACTTGTTCAGGGACAGTTGGTCCTTTACCCCCCCCCCCCCCCCCCCCCCCCCCCCCCCCCCCCCCCCCCCCCCCCCCCCCCCCCCCCCCCCCAACTCTTTTTTTCACCCCGTGCAATGTGGCCCGAGACCCACACAGAGAGGACTGTTCTTCCTGGGTTCATGCTTAAAAACTGCCCTGCCTCTAAGCCAGTGTGGCTTTTAAAAATACCAACTGACTTTATTTTACTAAAGATAATACTATTTTTGGAATCAGTTTTCATGAAAAAAAAGTTTTTGCATTGAAATTGCTAATGTGTGAACTAGAAAACGATAATTTCCAAACACAACTTATTAGTATAATAGTTAATAATAATAATAATAATAATGATAATAATAATAATAATAATAATAATAATAATAATAATAATAATAATAATAATAGTAGTAATAATAATAAAAATAATAGCAATTTTACCGACGCAATATCAATGCTCAAGCTGATTCGTTCTAATCTGTTAAATTCCAAGGACATCTTTAAGACTGGGTCATGCGCAAGTGCATAAATAACGCAAATTTAGGCATTACATGGTTTGACAAAATTCTGGAAGACCTAGACTTCGCCGCCGACATAGCACTCCTGAGTTCAGAACACACAGACGCCCAAGAAAAAATCAATCGACTCCAGAATTTCTCAGAACAAATTGGACTCCAAATTAACACCGCAAAAATAAAAATTCTAGACCTTACCAACAGTTCAGTTGATATCACGCTGAACAACAACAGCCTTGAAAAAGTCAACAGTTTCACTTATCTAGGGAGCAAGATGTCATCTACAGGAGATACCGCACCAGAAATATCATTTAGAATAGCACTGGCATCTAGTGCCTTCAATAAACTGTCTAACATCTGGAAATCAAAGACACTTAGCAAACACACACAAAACTCAAGATCTTCAATTCTTGTGTGATTCCAGTACTAACCTATGGATGCGAGAGTTGGAAATCAACGAAAACTCTAGACACAAAATTAGACAGTTTTGAAAATAAATGCCTTAGAAGAATACTAAATTTCAAATGGTCAGATTTCCGAACCAATACACAAATAAGGCAAGAATCCAGGCAAGAGTATGTGTCTAATTTTATACGAAAACGCCGCTGGAACTATGTCGGCCACGTCCTTAGAATGGATAAATCAAGACTTCCTTACCAAGCCCTCATTTGGACACCACAGGGAAAAAGATCTCGTGGAAGACCAAGGGAAACCCTACGTAGAACTATCATCAGGGAAGGCTCGCTCATAGGCCACTCAAACATCCAAGACCTACAACGGATTGCAACGGACCGCCGTGCATGGAGAGTCACGACCTCTGCCCTATGTGCCGCACTCGACACAAGAGGAAAGACTAACTAACTAACTAATATCAATGCAGAAAAATCTGGTAAACATGGACGTCACATCGCAACTCCAGGATTACAGCAGCCGACTGTGTTAAGGAACATACTTCTGTACAGAAGCTAGTCAAGTATCAAAATCTAGGCTCTGATGGCAATTTTAGGGAAATTAACAACAGCCAAATGTATTAGTGAGGACAAATGACTCGTTTTAGAAATGTCAATTGTAAAGAAAATGTTAGTCGTAATTGGAAGATTACCACTTCTGTTCGTGGTGAACTCTGTCTTGAAAGGAACACTGACGGATTTAGCAGATTTCCCAGTTGATTCCCTGAGTCCAGTTTACTCATCACTGATCCTGTCTCGGGACAGTGTATCTTCAGCCCAGGATAACGATACGTTAGTGACGCTGCTTTGGTTTCTTTTCTTGTTTACAGGTAGGAAACCACATTATGATTATCTAGTCAATAATTGACTAGCCCTAATTATTGACAACAATCTAAAATTACTGAGACGTGAGAATTCTCAACTGCTTCAACTTTAAGTTGTTTTTTTTCACAGAACAGAAAAAATCTTTAGTTTCAGTGAACTAAAATAGTAGAAATATGGGCTCTCCTCCAAACTTCAACTTCAAATATCCTTACGGGGGCTCAGGCCTATGTAAAATGCAGACTTTCAACCAAGGAACAAATTGCGGCAAAACTAGGATTACTTGCCATTTTTAAGAGACGCGACGTTGCAGACGATAATAGCGCGACCGTTGACAATTTCGAGCGTTTCTGCAGACGATAGTAGCAGATGATAATAGCATTCGCAAAATGCAATTAAACTCACCACCGAGCGTATCCCCCGCGGCGCTACGCGTGGCGTGTATGGGGGGCTAAACTAGGTGTTTGGGACACGAGCAAATTAATTTGAGGAAGTTGCAGGAGATGCGGTAGCTGCTGCTCGTGGGTCCCAGCCATCTAGTTTAGCCCCCATCCGCGTCGCGCGTAGCAAGTAACTTATCGCTGAGACCCTGTTAGAGCATTTGTTTCGTTATACGGAGCTGGCATATTTTTAATAGAACTGAACCCCTAAGGATATTTTATGTCCGCCATAATATCGGGTTGAACTTCGGAGGAGAGCCGAAATGTGGATTGATTGAAGTAACCATTGAGGTAGAAAGGATAAACATAACAATAACAAAAGAAAGAAGTTTTTCAATTTTTTTACATCATTAAAATGGGTAAAATAATAAATAAACATACTACACTGTGAGTTGCCTTATATTGTAAGAGTTAATGTTATCACTTAATATCAGTACATATTATTATTAGGCATTCCTATGTCTCTTGAGTCTACTTATGCAACAGTCACCACTAGGTACCTTTGATGAATGTTGTCTTATGAAGTTGGTTATTATGTCGCCAAACTACCACATAGATTTCATAAATAAAAGCAGGTGATATGCTGTGTTCCACAGTACTGGCACACTTTTTTTTTTTAACCATCATTTTGTCGTTACTATAATAGTCTCTGGTGAGTACCTTGTTGAGAAACTTTTTTTTTGTGGGTACCGAAACCCTTGTTTTCTTTTTAACTCTTTGAGTCCCAGTGGGTTTAGCATCACAGGCCCAGGGGGTAGCAAAGAGAGTAATAAAATCAGCGCATCATGTGTTTATTGGGCTTCTAAGTAGGAACCTATGATGAACGTACGATGCATTCCTTGGGACTCAAAGAGTTAATAGAAGAAAGCTCTGGATAGGAGACAATTCTTGATTCTCACTTTTACTTCTCTCCCCTTATGGGTTCCAGAAACCTATTTTGGAAAGGGGGAAAATAGACCCACTGGCCCCCTAACCCCCATGTCGTAAAAGGTGACTAATTGAGAGTGTTTTCTTCAAAGTCTGAGTGCTTCTGTCTGAGAGATAAGTAACCAACATTCTACATATAAATAAGCCAGATCTGTAAAACGGATATGAATGCAGAACTTAAGTTCTCGAAAAGACTAAAGAAGTCCAGAAGTGGACGAAAAACTGGGACTTTCCACCAGTTTACAGCCAATGAGCTCTAAGAAAAAGGTCTTGTTCCAGAATTTGAGTTTACCTGCACATAAATTTCACACCGGAACTTTGAACTGTAGTGTCCTGGAAAAACTCTACAAATTCTGTAGATTAACTCTTCAAGTCCCAAGGAACGCTTCATAGGTTCCGCCTAGAGGCTCAATTAACGCTAGATGCGCCGATTTTACATCTCTCTTGACTACCCATTGGGCCTCTGATGCTAAACCTCCTGGGACTCAAAGAGTTGAGAAAAGAAAATGACTTCCTTTATTATCTAGGTCCTGATTTGTGCTTAGAGGGTTTTACCTGCATTTTCACAATCCTGATATACTTGGGTTCAGAGTGAGTGGCAGGCCTTTGTGCATTGATTTTTATAACTGTATGATCATTGTACCGTTCAGAATCAAGATGGGCACGGAACATTAAAGACATTTAGGGATGATAATACATGAGGCAGGGGAAGGGCAGATGACCAAGACTTTCCATCAGGCCTTGATGGGAGTAATGAAGTGCAAAGGACTTAACCACAGATTAATGATGATACTCTATTTAATCCACTTGAAAGAGAAGGCCAGTCACAGAGATGGATAGAGGCAAAGAACCTCAAGCGTTCAGAATGCTGAAAAAAAAGAAGACGACAAAGAAAAAGAATCAATTTATATTATAGTTGCTTTTTCTTCTTTCTTAGCATTCGCTGGCCATAAATTCTGGTGGAAAGTTCTGGTTATCCCATCCAATTCTGGACTTCAGTTTTGTTCCAGAATTTTAAATTTACATGGACATCCATTTTGCAGATTTTGCTTACTTGTAATGTAGACGGTTGGTTCCTTGCCACTCAGGCAGATGCGCAATGACTTTGGAGAAAGAAGTCCTTAATTGATCGCCTTTTTCGTTAGCGACTAAATGAGTTTTTTCACCCCCTCCCCTCATTTCCCCAAAAGCCAAATGGGGTTCCATAACCACCACTAGGAATTATAGCTAGTTTATATTATAATTAATATTGGTGTTTTTTTCCTCTACTTTCAGTTGCAGTAACATCTTTGATACTTGTGTGCAGTCCAATAGGATCACTGCTGGAGGTGTATGGGTGTTGTTTAGGATTTGGCCTGCTAGTCTTCTCCTACTGTTGCAACTACCAGTTTGTTCATGGGAATCTGTTTGACACCATGTTCCAACAGAGAAAAGTTGACGCCAGGAATGTCAGTGGACAACACCTACACAGTGCCTTAACACACAGGCTGCGCTTGTCTTCGGTCATTATCAACATGCTGACCCAGTTCTTCATTCTGCTGGCCTTTGACCAGATTTGCATTGTGGGAACCTTGTGTAGGAGTCCTTCATTTACAAGACATTCTCGATACAGACTGGATATCATTCTGTTCATGTCTTTTACCCTGCCAATACTTCTGCATTCCGTTGTGGCTAAAGATAGCATTATTTATGATTTATCGCCGACTCTAGCACTGTTGTTTCCCTTACTGCTGCTGATAATCCATTCAGGATTTGTGCTGTTTACCATTTTCTCTGTCGTTTTTCGTGAAGTTAGAAACATAAGGAATAACTTCAGAGATGTTGGTATTGATGGTCTTCTGGTACGGTTAATGGAAAAAGCCAATTTGTCATGGTTATTAAGAACATTTTTTCTCACTAAAGTAATTTATCAAGTTATGATGTCAAAAGTATTATCGGATGCTGAAGATTTTAGCAGTTTGAACTGGGAGGAAATGTTGGATACAGCAAAACTGCTTCTATTTGAAGTGCTTCACTCTATGTGTGATACAATTTTATCTGTGATGAGCATGGCAAGTATTGTGAGCACTATTTGTGGATTTGTCTTAAAAACTGTGTACAGGATAATCGGTGCCCAGGATGAGGAGGAAAGCATTCAGCCAGCTGTCTCAGGATTCTTGTTTGTCTTGTTGGCCATGCAAACTGGCATCACCAGCATTGCCAGCGAGGGCAGGCTGCAGTTGTTATTTCAGAACTGCATCCTGCTGGTCGTCGCCAACCAACATTTTGTACAGACAGTGGCCGCTGATTTAGTCCTAAAAGCGAGCACAGATGACATCGCCATTGTAAAGCATATAAGACCTATGTTACCATATGTAATATTTTTCTCATTTCCTTTTCTAGTTTTGGTTCGTTTGTGGGAGTATCCTTTTCGGTTGTCCTGGTTATTAGCAATATCAGCATTCAGTTTAGAGCTGATAATAAAGTCTTTAGGGACACTCACATTTTATGCATTGAACATGCTGCAGTCCCGCACTAATTTTTTACATGAAAATATTGATGATTGCTCATTTTATATCAAAGCAACATGTGGATGTTTGGAATTTGCTTGTGGCATTTTTCTTTTCTGCAATGGGGCGTACATTTTCTTTTTTGAGTCAGGCGGTGTGATACGGTTTGTAATGATGGTAATACATTTCTACTGTAACATTTATCAGACGGCTGTTAAAGGTTTGAAAGCATATCGGCTGCGACAGTCAGCTTGGGAGAAGATGAACAGATTGCAATCTGCCAGTCAAGAACAGCTAGATGAAAATGATGACATCTGCCCTATATGTTACCAGGAGATGGTTGAGGCTGTGGTCGTAAAATGTTCCCATGTTTTCCATAGAGGTTGTCTGCAGAAATGGCTTACAATACAAGAAAAATGCCCCCTTTGCCATGTTGACCTATCAGAAGAAGGTCAGCCGAATAAAAAGAACAACTGAGAGTCAGTCTAGGAAAATAACAATATTTAAGAGAAGTGACCTTTTGAGATGTACTAAAAATATATTATTATGTTAAATGTGCATATTCCCAGTGTGGGTTCCTGGGCCACATTGGTAGTGGAGGGGGGAAGGGGGGGATTGACCCACTCACCCCTTAACAAGCATCTGGAGGAGTTACCAGGTGATCTGGCCAATGCTCGACACTCATTGGAAAGGTGAGACGGATGTAGTTACTGATGCCATCGGAATTGGAACTCTTTGCTTGCTGCTGAAGATGGGGGACAGAGGGCTTATGGGAGTGTCCCAAGTGCTATGATGTCAATTCTTAATTCAACAAGCATGTTTTTAAAGGCAGCTAATTAAAGGTTTACTGGAATTGGTTATGTTGGGCAGAAAGATGCAGATATAGCAGCCTAGCTGTAAACCACAACACCACTTTTGAAAGGGTTAATGCAGAAGAAAACGTGCATATTAAACTGTTGCTCTAATGGTAGTTTTCACAGTAAGCAGAATACAAAGAAGGCCTTTAATTCTCTGGCTAGTTAGTTTGGCATTAATTGCAGTAGGTCTACTGATAGTTGTATCACTATATAGTAATCACTAATAAATGTGATGTGTCATGTATTAAAGTGTTGCAAAAACAGAGAAAACATTTCAGAACCATTCTATCAAATCATTTAACTAATAAATAATCATTGCTTATATTCAGTTTCAATGTGTCATTCGCAAAGCTTCCATTTCCATGTTTTTGTTTCCTAATTAAAAGTCATCTGTCACAACTATCTTCCATCTTTAAAAAAGTTTTTTTTTTTTTTTTCAGAAATACTTTAGGTAGGGTCCCTTTTTCACAGCTTTAGACGTATTGGGAATGTAGGGCTAGACCTATATTTTTATAGACCAATTGGCACTTGATGGGTGATGTGGTCAGCATCGTGCTGGCAAAATAATTCAGGTACTGATTTTTATCTATAAAAATATGGGGTAGCACCATATACCTAATATGCCTGATGGAACTAAATGTGTCCCCTACTTTACCTTTTCTTTTTTTTTTCATGTCATAGAATGTGCACCTTTTTGCAACCACCTTTTCATTTGGTTGAAATATGTAGTCATTTCTATTATATTGTGAAGATCTGACCACTTGCATAGAACATAACACAAAGCACAAACTCTGTAGTTGCAGTGGTGATTTTCAGAGATCCACACCAAAAAAAAGTTGCTTGTGAACTGAACATCGAAATTGGGAAAGCAACTTACACCCTTCAGGGCATGGGAGAAAAGGCTCTTGATCATGTTGCCTTGGCGACCCCCAAAAAGATTTCCTTAATAAGCTTTCTCTCTCTCTCCGACTCTGTCTCTCTCTCTTTCTCTCTCTCGCTTGTTCCCTCCCTCTCCCTTACCCTCCCCCAATATCACTATGTGGTTGATGATTCGCTGATCTCTCATTTCACTCTAAGGTGTTATCACAGTTTGATAATTCAAAGATTAACCTCATTCTGTGGCAAACTATTCACTGATATTGCACAGTGTGGTAATATAATATAATGTCACTGTTTAAAATTACCATTTTGTGTTTGTATTTTCCTTCGTTTAAACAATCCTGATCTCCAGCAAAGCATAATGTTCCAAGACTATTATCATTTAAATAATTGCAAAAATCAAGAATTTCTTGAATATAAGACAGTTAATTCTATATGTGATGTGTATACATAATAGTGTATATTAGAAACTTCAGTTTGTTTCCCAATAGTATACAATGTCCATTTTGTTTCCTTATCTGTTCCTTATATTGATGTGATGAATGAGGATGAGGTTAGAATGTATTTATGATTCAGGCTGGGAGAGTACATATGGATCCGATTAAGAAACTATATTGGGGCCAGCTAAAGACCATATATTCTGTTTTCACATTTGTAAAAGAAAAAAATTACCTCTTCTTCTTGCGCTTCTTCACTTCCTCTTTTACCGTTTCAAGTGTCAGGGAGATATAAGGTTATGTAAATAATTCCTGAAGAACAGAATATGTGGATCTTAGATGTGCATCTGGCACGAACATGGAGGAAGGGAGAGACTGAGCAGTGTTGTGACAGCAGCCTTGGCCTTCACATTATTCTAACTAGATGCACCCTTACTTTCGATGTTCGGGAATTGCCTATTGTGTATAAAGAATAACAGATGAGATGGTTTGGTCATCTGATGAGATTGCCCTGGTATCAGCTGCCACAGAGAGCCTTGTTGAAAAAAATATATATAATGAACACAGAGCAGGGTTTCCCCTGCCTAGAAAGTAGAATGAGGCCACCAAGAACAGCCTTTGAAGAATTTGTTTGTTTATTCAAAGGAACAGCATCATAGCACACGAGTGTAACCCATAAGTGCTCTGTTCTAAATCTTACTCAAGCCTGAGTCTGAAGAATCTCAGCGCAGTGCATGAACACCATTTCACTGGCGAGGATCCTGAAATAGTATGGGTAGATTTTTAACTCAAAATTTTGCCCAGGCAGCGCCGTTAGGCTGCTTTTTTAAATGTCCAACTGCCAAGGGATTTTTTTTATGTGCGCAAGAATACACACAGCATCCGATCTTACTACCCAGAGACCAGGGGAAATTAGTAGAAGTCCACTTGAAAAAATCCCAGACTTACCAGGGCTTGAACCCGGGACCTCCACCACTCGAGGCGGACACCATACCTCAAGAAAACTCAGCCTCATCTTTAGAAGAATTTAAGACCCCCCACCCTCAACACGAAGGAAGAAAAGAAGAATTGTCGGGTATATTTGTATTTTGCTGAAAATATGAATGAAGATAATTGTTATAATTTTATCAACATGTTATTTTACAACCTCATGTGGATTTAAACTATTAGGTCCACAAAACATCTGTCTGATTTTTATGTAACATATGCTCAGTCTTGAATTTACTATTTTTTTTGTGCACACTTTTCATGTTTTTATGTTTCAGTAGCTTATTGAGTGTCTTTATTTTAAATGCAGTTGGTATTTATTATACAGACTCCCTGTGTGGGTTATAGGGCCCCATTGTGAATTCAAGGAAGGGCCCCATTATGAGGTAGAGACTAGGGGGGGGGGGGGGGAGGGGGGAATAGATCCACTTCCCCCTAACAAAAGTATTATAGAAATAAACTAATTAGGGGTGACTGCTTCGAAGTTTGAGTGCATCGGCATGGGAAGCGAGGAACCAGCAGTCTCTGTATAAATAAGGCAAGATCTGTAAAAATGGATGTGCGTGCAGATCTCAAGTTTCAGAACAAGACTGAAGTCCAGAAGTGGCTGAACAGCTGGAACTTTCTGCTGGAGTTCACATCCAGTGAACTCTAAGAAGGTTATAGAGACAGTTTCTGGTAATTGTATGGATTATCCATTAAAGCAGGGTCAGGCTCCAGAAATGGTATGGGTCATTCTTGAGACCAAGGAAGGCTGTAGTAATGGTATTGGTCCTTTGAGACAAAGGAAGACTTTGATAATGGTATGGATCTATTGAGACAAAGGAAAAAAGACTTTGATAATGGTATGAATCTGTTGAGACAAAGTTAAAGTCAAGTAATGGTATGGATCTGTTGAGACAAAGTTAGAGTCAAGTAATGGTATGGATCTATTGAGACAAAGGAAGAAAGACTTTGATAATGGTTTGGAGCTAGTGAGGCAAAGGAAGACTCTAGTAATGGTATGGATTCATAGAGAGAAAGGAAGCCTCCTGTACTGACATGAATAGACTGGAACAAAAATAATCTCCTGTATTTGCATGGATCCATTTGTATATTTTCCTTATACTCAAAATTTAATCTCACCACCAATTATTAGAGTTACTTACATTGCTACGTTTATTGAACTCAGACTCTATGTAACCCAATGGAGCTTTTGCAGTGGCCCTAAGCTTAGTGCTATTCCATCAGTCAATTGGTTCACCACCCTGAGACTTAAAAAAAAAAAAAGGTCAGTGCTGATGCAGACCAACAGGGGATTACTAATACCCTGTTCAGCCTCTCAAGAAGTTATAATTAGGGCATCTGTTACAGCTGTACCAGCATGATGCAAACTACAGTCCTCTGCATTTTGATTTGATTCAAGGCATCACAGCACTCAGGGTATTCCCATAAGCGCTCCGTCAACATTTTCAGCAGCTAATGAAGAGTTCTGATATTAATGGTGCCAGTAGCATTCTGATTAAATATCCATCTTGCCTTTACTCTGAGCCTCGAGCATAAGGATAATTAGTGCTGTTGAGTTTGCTGTCTAAATTTATTGGGATTGAAAAGCAAAGTGGTCCTTTCACCAACACTTATGTTGACTTAGTATATTTGGTTTTTGTTTACATGCCAAACATCCTCCAATGAACGTAAAATTGTGACAGCAGAGTGGAAATGCCTTAGAAGAGCTGCATGAGTTTCAAGGAAAGGCAGAATACAAATCAGACAAATGCTAGCAATAAAGTCAGTATTACAAGTCATTAAAGAACAACAAGTGAAGTAGTTTGGACACCTAACAAGAATGCCCTGCTACTATCTGCCACAGCGTGCCACTCTAAAATGTTAAACAGGTATAGAGCAAGTGGAAGACCTCAGAAAAGATGGGGTGATGGCATTAAGAACAGCCTTACAGAAATGAACATCAGTCTTAATAGTGCTCTTGACAGAGCTCATCAACGAATGTTACATCTACCCCTGACACTTCGCTGAAGTACAAGGTGGAAGAGAATAAGAAGTTAAGGACCACTTTTGATTGGATAGATATCCCAAAAGGTGCATTTGGCTCCTCCCATAGACCACAGCACAGTTCATAAATTCTGTAGCAGTATTGAGATTTTAGGAGCCACCATAGTGTAATGGCTAGAACGCTCGCCTGCAGATCAAAGGTCATTGATTGCACGGAGACGGAATTTTTCACGCCTGACCTTGGCTCCCAGGTTGACCCAGCCTTAAATGGGTGCCAGGTGAAGTCCTGGGAAGTAAAAGTAGCTGGCGTAGTGTTGACCATATCACC